CGCCAAAAAAAAAAAAAAAAAAATAGAACATTTCTGAATCCAGGCTCTGGGTTCCTGAGCCCTGGAATCTGTCTGTGTTTCCCCTACCACAAGCAAAACAGAATGTTTGTCCCTAGAACAGCTTCACTTGGCTGCTGTGTTCCAAGAGGAAAAGCTTAGTCGGACCCATCACAGTGATGGGGCATCACAAGCACTGTGCAAAACACTTTCTCCAACAGGGCCTACTCCAGAGGCCAGGGTTGGAACACAACATCCTTTCGGCTCTTTCAGTATCTCTCTTTCAAAACAAAAACTGTCTAAAACTCAGCATTTCAGGTGTAGTTTTAACATGCATGCCTGAATCGTCTTAACACAAAACTAGAATTGTGATCATAGAAAAGGTGATGTCTGATTTTTTGCAAAGGGAACTGAGTTCCAATAAAGCTACTTGGCAGAATTCAGAGCAGAATTCTCCCTGCTTCTGAAATGTATCCAAAGTTTTCAGAAAGTTTTAGGACAGCTACTGAAAAGAGGCAGTACTGGGGTACTGGGGAGAGCACTGGCTTAGGACAACCAGGTTCTAGTTCCAATTCAGACTTTCCTTGGGCAAGTCAGCTCAATACCCTGCTCCACAGTGAAAAATGCTCAACCAACATTTATATTAAGTACAACAGGGAAAGCACAAGGGGTACGAACAGAAAAAAGGATGAGGCTTACCCACTTCATTTCACAAGCCCAGTAGAATATAAGGTAGGATGCAGTACAGCAAAGGGGAGATCCAGACAAAGTGCTCAAGAAATCTGTGAGATTGGAGAGAACTCAGAAGGGGTCAAGTGAGCTGAGCACGCAGGAAAAGATTCTGAAAGGAGGTAATAAGGAAGGACATTCCTGGGATAAGGGATGACATAATAAGAGCAAGCATTTCTAGAGTGTTTTAAAAATACTATCCCATCGGGTGCCCTGTGAGGTAGATATGACTATTGTCCCCATTTTGCAGGTGAGGAAATTGAGGCAAAGAAGAAGTAAATGAATTGCCCAGGGTTACCCAGCTACCAAGTGCCTGAGGCAGGATTTGCACTTGAGTCTTCCTGCCTCCAAAGCCAGTGCTTTAATCACAAGTTCAGGGAGCTGCCTTTAATATCTAGGAATGAACAGAGGGAGATGATATTTCAAGTTCAGGGAGCATCTAGGAGTCCAAACTGCCTGGATCACAGGTAAGGCCAGGAAGGTGGGCTGCTGCCTTACTGAGGCAGCCCTCAAACCCTGTCTGGAGAGCTTCTAGGGTCTCCCAGCAGCAATAGGAAGCAACTACAGATTTTTGAGCAGGAGAGAGAGACCTGTGCCTTTGGAGGGTGGACTGGAGGGGGAGAAACGGGGGGAGTCCCAGAGACCTGCAAGGAGATAGTGTATGTAGTTCAGGCAAGACTCGATGAGGCCTCCAAGAGGCTAAGAGCCAACACCAAAGT